TGTGAGGCCCCACTGAAGAGATGAGGACATGTAAGACTGGAAGGAACTTTCAGCCACTCCAGTCCCTGGCTACTTCAGATTAGCACATTATACAATTTCTTCTTGTAAGTGGAAAGCTCCTCTTTAACTATTTACAGCTTTTCCCCTCTCCCAGCCCTTACATTTGGAGCTATTCCAGACAGTTGTCCCTCGAACCTTCTTCCAGCTTCCAGACAACATTTACTCATGAACAGTTTACATCTACTCATTCTTCTGCTGATCTTGTCTTGGCTCTTATCCCTCCCTGCTGTTTCTCTTCTCAATATACTCATAGATGGCTAACAGGCTTGCTCTTATCCTTCATTTGTCAAAGCAGACACACCAGGATATTCCAGTCTTCCCATGACATAAGCCTGATCACCTAGCGAGCAACTTGTACAACAGCATTTATCTCCATTTCTGGTGCAAGTATTCAAACTCATACCTTCCAGGACTGAATCTGCCCTTTCCACAGCCTTGTCAACTAACAGGTAATGTCACGTGGTTGACAAACACAAGGAGAATATTCTCCTCCCTCACTTCCAACCAAAAAGCACACAGCTAATACAGAAACCATTTTTCATTCTTAGGTTAATTACCATCTGTAAGAAACCCTTCAAGAGCCTCCTGAATTTTCCCAAGCAGTCCAAGAAGCACAACTTTCCTTTATTTCCATTCCACCTTATATCTGCAGTCTGGACTTACTGGAGGAAATCTTGTCCGACTTTCCTTTGCTTTTTACTCTGTGTGTCATCTACTCTCTCCATGGCTATTATCCAGCAGGTAGGACCAACACAACTTTCTCCTCAGAGGGTAGCTGGGTGTCCTTTCCTGCAGCATTGCACTGCTACACCTGGACTCTGTTTCAGCCACAGGAGTTGAACCACAAGGATCCTCCTTTAAGTGCCCATTGCATCATAATTACATAATTACTGGGGTTGCTTACAGTGACTTCTGCAGTTAGTGCAGCAATGTTCTCATTTAGGATTTCTGAAATAAAATCAAACTGAACATTTTCCAGAGAGTTGTTCATTCATAAATCACTCTGCTTGAAAGCACTGAATTATTGGTCACTTGCTTCATTGCCTTTTATTTTCTTTCTCTTTTTTTTTTTTTTTTTTAATGGGATAGGGGAGAGGAGAAAAGTATCAAAGCAAGAACTAGTCAGCCTTGTTCATATCTATCCCCTTCATGATTCACCCTACAGAGCAAGTAAACACCTATGGAATTTTATTTCCTGTTATTGCATACATAAAGCCTCTAGAGGGAAAACACATTTAAAATACGATTTTACTGAAAAATAACATTTTAGCCAATTGTATTTTCAAGATGATTGAAAATTTAGCTTAACATCTAGAAGCAATTTTGCCAGCAACATTAAAATGCAGTATGGTTTTTGGAAGGAAAAAGTACTTGATTGGGCGAGGCACAATGTGTTTGGCAGTCCAGAGGAGAACTGTACTTACACTGGCATGCATGAATTTGGTTTTATCTAGGTCACTTCTCCACAAAGCATTTAAATGCAACCTCCTGATAGGCTTCCATCCAAAATTTAAGAGACAACCAAGTGCTATAGATACATGACCAGCAGACAGACTGCTTCTGGTTTTTACACTAGACAGTTGCTGGCTTTGAGTGTCAGTGAAGGGTGTCGGTACCAGCAAAGGCAGGCTAACGCACTGCCGAATTCAGCCATGGCTACCCCAGGGCCCGCAGGGCTACATGGCGAGTAACTGTGCTGATGAAAACAGAGAAACCACATACTGCTCAGCAACTCCTTCAGAAATTCATGGGCTGTACTTCGGAGTGGCTGCTTGCCAACAGGCTGCAGCTGAACCCGAAGCAGACACAGAAAAGCAAAACTATCCTGAAATAGATACATTGTTAAAAAAAAAAAGTCACTGCAATAAGGCTGGGGGGAGGGAGGGGCGGGTGGTGCGCGGAGGGAAAGGCAAGTGCTTCGATGAACCAAAAGTTAAGACTGCCACTACAATTTCAGAAAGCAGGAGACAGACAGACCTTGTAGCTCCCAAACCACAGTGCAAAACCAGTATAGTCTTTTTACGGAAGAGAAATTTCAATCTTCCATATTTTACTTGAGATATCTGGAACATACTGAAACCATCAGAGCCAGAAGATGAAAAATCTGTGGTAATTCTGACAAGTGTTGGCAAACAGAACTGTCAAGTAAGGATAACGACTTTATATTCACAAAGCACTTTTCATCCAGATAGAACCCAGAGTGTTTTACAATTGTTACTAATGGATTATACACATGCATGAATCACTTTGCCCATGACTGAAATGGAACAGCTTAAGGAGTGAACTGTTTAACAGCACATAGCAACACTACACCACAGTTTAGCACACGATCCAGTTGCAAATCCAAGAGAAATTTAGGAAGGCAGAATGTAATTACCCACATTGCAATCTGCACAGGATGCTGGGTTTACATTAGCCCTCCTCCAACAACCACCACTGGAAATATAGCAACTGCCAGCGTCTCTGTCACAACGGGAAGATAACAGGGTACCTTTTTGGCCTCATTTCAGTTAAGTTCCAGGACAGCTGAACAAAACTTAGCTGAGCCTGTGGAGGACGAGTCACTTCAGGGGTGCATGAAACTAGCAAAGTCAGAGTCAAATCCCACCTGAAAGATGGCACCCCAGTCCAAAAAGTACTCCTTGATAACATAACACAGCATCCGATTGATACTGCATGGGAAGAAAGAAGCTCACACTCTATCACCAGTGTCACTTCCTCCAGCACCTGCTTCTCATCTGCAACTTTCCCAGAGGGAAAACAAGTGGTTTTGTTTAATGATTAAAGTTGTGAATGAAGGAGCCGAAAGAATTTAAATCATTTAAGCGATGTAACAACAGGTTGAAGAAAACAGTGCAGAAGCGATGAGGAAGTCTTTAATTTTTTAAGAGTTTCAGGTAATTATATGCTTACTACTACAGTGAAAGTAATACTAGAATAAAAGGTTAAGAATATAGTAAGGAATGTTAGTGCACACTGTGAATGTTAGTGCACACTGTGAGCTTTGGACCAACTTTTCTAACAGCTGTTCCACATTTCAGGGATTTCAACTCACACAAAAATCAAAATCTGAACTAAAAAATACTTTCAAAATGTTAGAAACATAGGTACAAGCAATTTTTTAACCCCTCCCAAGCCCTACTGTCAAGTCCATGCTCAACACCTATGTGAAATTTCAAGGCTATACCAAGCAGCTTTCACTGATCTCAGTAAGAGCTCTTAAGAGTTCAGTACTTCTGTTAATCAAGCCATATGTTAAGCTGCTTAAGACTGCAGACTTGTCTTCCTGCCCCCTCCTTTTTTTTTTTCTTTTTTTACATTTGGTCACAGATTTTACAAAATTGAAGATTTTCAATCTTAGTCAAAATATATTTTTTAAAGAAATAGGCTTGAACACACTCTTTATAGGAAAAAAAAAGAAAAAACTAGTTAGATACATTAATTACTATGAAATGCAACAATCTGAGACCAATGTTGCACCTTCATACAGATAACATTTCTATTGAAATTTTACAGAGCTTTTCTTCTCTAACCCTTGCCCAAATTGCCCTGCATTTGAAGCACGTGGAACACCATCATCTTTGCCAAAAAGATACTCAAACAAACTGTTATCTAACAGCAAACACAGTATTATGATCATTAGGTTAAAACCCACAACTCATAAAACCAGAAATTTGCCTACAATAGATTAGGAAACAGGAAATCTTTTAAGGGAATAAGAGCTACAATGCAGCCTTCTGAAACAAAAGGAAGAACATTACAGTAATTAATTCTTCTTTTAACAAACACACAGCATACAACAGCTGGGGAAAGTAAACACTAGGATGCTGGATATCTCTTTGAAAAGCAGGAAGCCAAAGGGAAAGGATGACTACAAATGGAAAGCCTGGAGTCAAAACGAACTCTGAGATTCCTCACCAAGTCAGTGACCATAAGATCTACCTAAAAAATGTAAGCCTGGAAAATTCATCATCTAGAACCAGAGATTTCACTGCACAAGTATTTAATCTAGGCTGAACTAAGTGAAAAACTTTCTCTTCATAGTTGTCCAAGATTAAGCTTAATTTATGCACCTACTTTAGAGGAGAAGTCAGATCTTTTATCAGAATTGTCTTGTTTACTTCACTACTGCCCTCAGCAATGAGAACAAAGAATGCAACTAGCAGGAACATCTGATTTCCTTTCATATCAAGAACACCACCGTAACTAGAGATAACAAAAGAGGACTGACAAGAAAAATTAACTATTTACAATGATGATGTATACAGAGCTGGAAAACATTTGGAGAAAAGGATCAGGAAGGAAAAAGTAGAAGCCAAGTATCTGAAAAACTGCTGTATGTCAGAAATCATCCATTTTCAATAAAAACACTTTTGAAACAAAACTGCTAACAAAACAAAGATGTCTTTCAAAGAAAGAGAATATTATATCATCTGGCTTTTTCATCATGGATCATATTCCCAGATAAATTGATAATGGAAATCAGCCAGGAGTTCAAGTTTCCTTATTCAGGACTTTCAGGTGGAAAATACTGTATCTAGTTTAATGACACATCTCCAGGTGGGTTTCCTACTTCTTCATTGCTTCTTTCCACCTGGACCCTCTGTATTTCATCAGTCTGTCTGGCACAACTCAACAAAATGTTAAGCCTTCTTACTTTCAGAAATAGCAAGTGGCCCTCTCAAAGGGCCAGCTCAAGCTGCATTAACAAGTTTTCTAATATCTTGCACCTTGCATGCTTGTCAATTCCCTGTTTCTTGGCACCAAGTTCCATCTACACTTGAAGACATTTTTGTTTGTTTAGTTTAGGTGGCCAGCAGGAAACTCTGGCTTGCATGCACTGGATGTTGCTTTAGTCCTGCTAAACGGAGCTAGCATACACACACGGTTTCCAGACTAGGTAGTAGATGGTTGAGTGACAGAGAGACGACAGAGTGTACCTGGTTAAAGTATCTTAAGCAACTTTCCTGGCACCAAAACCAGCAGAAACAGCACTTGAAAAGGCACTTTGCACATGCACTCTCCTGCAATAAAATGAAATGTTTGGTTACTGGACATAGAATTAGACTCAAACAAAACTGTCACTTTAGAAAAACTTGTTTTACATGTGGCTGATTCTTCTAATAAAGCATTCATTTAGGCAGCAGATATTTCCTTTAGGATTATAAGAACCATTTTTAATTCAGACTCTTCAGTGTTAAAGACTGATGAGCCAAGCATATTTTTTTTCTTCATGTGGATGGAAGATTCTTCTTTGGGAAATAAAATAAGTGCTGCAAGGAGTGTGTGAGCTAACAGCTTCTTGGAGAACAAAATAGGCAGGCAAGTCAGTAACCCTTACAGTACTCCACAGTGATCAGGGGGTCACTGAGAGATTTTTTAATATTTTGTTTATCAAGAAACTTTCACAGTTCTGAAGTGACTGGTACCCTAACGAACAAAAATAAAAGAACAGGCAGAAGGACTTATATGCACATGTGTATTGACTCAGAGCATACATTCATTTTCCAGGACAGTAGGAAAAAGCATGTAATAAAACAGACCACTCATAGACCATTGATCTATATTAATTTCATACTAAAAACAGAGCAGAAAAGCTCAGTGTTTGTTCCACCATGCCCCCACCCCTCCATCGCATCACGAATTCAGAACTTTTCATCATATAAAGATTTTACCGAGCAAGACAAGAAAAAGACATCTTGGTAGCCATGGTAGCCTTCCAAATTTAACTGTTTTTCTCAGCAAAAAGAAATTCAGTTCAGTGATACTTGAGTCATTTTAAGCTTCTTTTTCCAGAGGTCAGAATGTTTTTGTTTGGTTTTGGAAAGCAAAAATCTTCCAGTCACTATATGAAAGCCTCAGGTCCCCACAACCACCATTGTTCGTGCAGAAAACACAAACCTCCCAACTTTTTTCAAAGAAGTTCTCGAAAACATTCCATGAATAATTCCTTTAAAATGGTGACTGTACATGCAAATTCCTTACAGCAGAGAAACACTTTAATCTTGCCATGTATTGCTGGAGACACGATTTTACTAAAACTTTCAATCTCAGTAAGTACTGTATTAAAAACCTAGAGCAAGGGACAACAACTGCACCCTCCTCTCTAATTCTGCTTGAAGACTGCTGTGTAGAAAACATCTGTGAATTTACCTGCAAGCTCGCAGACTCCTGACTTTTCCTCCTGTTCACTAAAAACAGCAGCAATTTTTGAAAGGCTGGCAAAGTCTGAGTGAGCTCTACAAGAATGCAGCATTGCTTCTCCATCCTTTAGAACCACTACTCTGGCCCTCTATGGAAAGAGCCTCAATGGAAAGGGGCCATAGTCTGTCCTTTCTTCCCTGGGAAGGAGCAAGGTTACTTTGTGGGGGGATTCCGCTGCGGACTGGGGACACAAGCTGGCCCAAGCACTTCATAGCTTCTTTAGGAGCAGTTACAGCCATGAGTCATGTCACATCCTCAGCTGAATGCTTGACAACTGGACCAAAAGGAGTTTGTACCACACTGCTGCAAACTATCTTTCTTTGCTAGTTAAGTCTTCTACAGCTGTTCAGATTACAAAACCGTGTACCCAACAAGTCCACTTATTCTGCTTCCTCTAGAGGCGGAAAATACTATCTTCTTCTATCTACAAGATAATACTATCTATCCTCTTTCTAGCACAACTTATCCCACCCATCATCTTTAAACAAAGCTCTTAGCTTACCCAACTCACCAAGTTTTATAACCAAGGCTTTCATACGAAAGTGACATAAACCAAGACACACATCTTTCAAGTATCTTATTACAAGGGGCTTTTATTTAAGCATTCACAAACTATACCCCACATACATGCCTCATAGGTATCAGGGATAGTCAATGCAAATACCCTGTCAAAACTACACATAACATGCTTCAAAGGCAAGATAAACTCTAGAGGAAAAGATCTACATTTAAAAACTGCCTAAATCTTCCTCTAAAATCAGAGCTGTGCAGTCATGACAGCCCTCTCTCACTGCCAAAGTGCCAGAACTAACTGCAATGGTATGTTTCCAGCAGAAGATGAGAGATGTAAAGATGTATGAAAGATAGAAAGAAGGCAAGCAACGAACAAAACAGCTCAGCTATATTTTTTATGTATCTTAAAAGACGTGGTTTGAATTGTACACAAATCTCTGGAATAGTTCTTATTTCATACATTCTTTCTCTAAACTCATATTACAAAATGAAATATTTTCGCTAAGATATTCTGTATGGAACAATAATGTTCTTACTTACCTTTGCTTTTTTAAAAGTCATGATGCAAAAGTTTTAAATAGAGCATTCTGCAAAATTTGTTCTTTTTCCTTCCTAAAAAAACTTTAAATATAAAACCACTAAACAAAGATGGTTTTTAATGTTGGTGTTTTCTGCTTTTAAGAATATCTGAATTCAGAGAAAAAAAGAAAGCACATGGAAAAAGCTTTCTTAATGAAGAAAATGGGACAAAATATAAAATCCACATCATATCAGACATTTTTAAGCAAGAAGTATAGTCTTCACATTTTTCCTCACCTTTTAACTACTATTTTATAGTGTTACAGAAGTATATACCTACCTTTTGTTTTAAGATATTATAAAGGTACAAGAGAACAATCCTTGGTATTCTCAGTATTGTGATTAGAAATGAGCCTTTTACAGCAGTTCCTAGATGATAGCAAAAAAGAACTGATATGGAAGACAGGACTGGGTGAGGTGGTGGGCTATTTTTATTTCTAGAAAGAAAAACAAACAATTCAAAAAATTTTTAGAAACTTATTTAAGAAGATATAGATTTTATCTTTTCACTATTTGGAAATTTAAACAATTAAGCTGGAATCTCCCTTCCCACTAGAACAATGTGAGTTTTCCTACTGACTTCATCTGAATGTTCACCTTAGTCCAAAGGAAAGCAGCCAAGTTTATAACGTTTACTGGATTAGTTTAATTCTTAAGCAGTGACTGTTTTGATGTATTCAGTAATGGAAAAATTTCTAGAAAAAACCTACAATGGAAAATACCAGAAGGGAACAACATCTGAGAATACTTCCTTGAACACCTCTCTTCAGTTTCTGTCACTTCTCTTATTCTCTGAAATATTTTATTTGACTGTTGTTTCTGCAAGATATTAGTCTAAAGCAATTAATCTTCTCTTCCTGATTTAGTAGTAAAATTAAAACTAGCAAAAATATCACAAGCTCTCACACATAAAATTGAGATCTACTATCTACTTTTATTGTTGCAATTTGAATGAATTTTGCTTTAAATTTTGTTCAGATAATTGATACTTTTTTTTTCACTGAACAGATTTGTTTTAAAATGGAATACAAAAAAAAGGAATATCATACTATATGCTTAGAATCACAATTTGGTCTAAAAAATTTGTAATTCTACTGCACACTAACCCATATTGTTCTGGAGAAACAACATGTTTCCCAAAATTGAAAAGCAAAGACAAAAAATTGGTCTAGGAATCTCAAATACAAGTTTTATTTTCTTGGTTTCTTTATAAAGGTCAGTTCAATGTGCATCATTTACAGAATAGAATGACACAGCTCTGAAGAATTTATATGAAAACCAGGAAATTAACTTAAAGCCACTTCCCTACAATTCTTCAAATGCTATAAAAAAAAAAATTAGATCAACACTATAAATACTTTAAAAAAAAAATGTTTAAGAGGATTAAAAAAGCCCACTGATCAATAGTCATAAATAGCCCTTCTAAAAAGCAACTCTTAAGCGATTGGCCCAACTGTGAAAAATTTACTTAGGCAACAGAACCAGCAGCAGTTTGACTAAGTAGTTAAGTAAAGATCAGGCCTTATACCACAAATAAGATGTTCTGTTTTCATAAGTGATTCCTTCAAAACCTCCGTTATCTTGAAAAATTAATAGTTTGCACAAGAAACTGAAAAATAAAAAGACAGTGATAAGAGTGTGACTGGCTGGGGCTAAAAAGCTCTACAAATATATTTTTATTAAACCCTTACTTCAGCAAGGATTTAAATCATACACACTTCATCAAGGTAGGTATCACAGTTCTGCAAGAATCCTGAAGGTATCACTGCAGTTCATTCAAAATACTATATACTTTGCAGCTGAGAAGCGGTATTTAAATATGTGAATATACCACATTATTTTAAATAGGAAATTCCAGCAAAGCAGTTGCTGCATTTATTACTTTTGGTCTTACAACTATGGGAACAGTTTGGGGGATAGTGGAATTTTATACTGAATAAGGCAGGTTTTTTTTATTTAAGTCATCAGGTTTCTGTGTTAGAAACACATAGATCACAATGTATATGAGTTATTCTATCCATATAGTGCCATTGTTTCCTTTCCCCTCATACACTACCTTACATATGACAGTCTCAGTCAGATCTCAGAATATACAAGATTAAGTTTCTGCAAGTTAAATGTTAACCAAGGGTGAGAAATACAGAAAAGACAAAGTTTACTGTTATGTTAATAATTTACTTACTACTGAAGAGAAAAATGAAGAAGGGTTTTGATATTTTTAACAAGACTGATTAATGAACAAGAATCTCAGAATCTGAAAGTTTAGTTTAGGTAAATTTCTACACATTTGGATGCTTTTCCACACCTCCTTTTCCTAGCAAAGGAATTCTCACAAGAACAGGGTCTGCCAAGGTTTCTCGCTTTGCTTCCAAACCGATCTGGCTCAGGGTAGGAATCACAGGAGAATGGCTAGCTAAACACAACAGGTGATGCTTGTGACTCTAAACAAGCTCAAGATTGGCTCAATCATCTGCCTACACCAAATTACCGCTAAGGATGACCATTCACCCAGCTTTGTACATTATATGGCTGTAATCCTGAAATGACCTTAGCACAAGCATACAGTCAGCCATATGCATAAGGTTTTGCAGGCAGCTCAAATTCTGCAGTGAATTCTGTGCATGTAGACTCCACTGCATGCACACAAGGTATTGGGAAAAAACAGGAATCTGCCTGATACAACAGCTCACAATACCGACAAGGGCTACAGCTTGCTTTTCATCTTCGGTATTCCTATTTTATGTTACCATGGTATTGTCTTATTTACATAGAACAGTACTATTCTAAAATCCTGTGAACCTGTACTCAATACTACATCATCTTGTAATAATTTTCCTTCTTCAGTGCTGCCAATTGTCTTTATTTTCTTGTGAGCTCTGTGACACTCAATATCTTTCTTACCACTGAGTTCCTTGAATCAAATGATCACACATGCATCTCAGCTTTCATTTTAAAACCACTTTTTTGTGTGTGAAGAAAAAATGTAATCTTGACATATCCAAAAGCCATAACATTTGAAAGGGGGGGAAAAAAGCATTTCTCTAAAAGCCTGCCCTTTTCAGAGCTGTGCTTAACAGTCGTCTTCAATTCTGCCTCATCTGTTTCGAAGACTGCCTAAAATTTAGTGTAAAATACTTCAGAAGTGTTAAGGAATGAATCACGTATGTAAATATGAACCTCAGTTTTTAAACAAATACAATAAATTACAAGATTTGTAATAAAAGAGATGTTATCAGACTAACAGAGAACACACAGACTGTACTTCCAAATGCCCCTTTACCTGCTCTCAAATCCACAGGGAACAGGCCTGACTACACACATGCTGATGGCTCTTCAGGGGTTGGGTCAAGCATGTAAGTAGGGCAAAAGATGCTCATAAACATTGCAGATATGTTTGAAAAGGGAAGATTAATCCTTTAAAAATTTGGTCCTAGCTCCTCTCCCAATGACTGGTGCAAATCCACAAACCTGGATTTTTGACTTACTGGGAGATGCATGTATTTCACCTCTCACTGAATCTATCGGGAGGTGTGGTGCTGAACACCTCAGTCAGGTGGAAAACCTCAATCCTGCAAACACTTATGTACTTCCTTAATTTCAACCCTGTGCAGTGACATGCATGCACTGGAGTTACTGAACAAGCTCAAACACAGACAGGACAGTGATGCCTGTGACTTGAGTAAAGTTATCATAGCACCTTCCTTTAATCCCAGTGAGGGGAAAAGCCTCATCTCACAGAAAAGGTAAACACGCACATAACACCTAGGCACACTAAGATGAAAATAAACCCTCATGTAAAACAAAGAAGGTTTTTTTAAAGACTGAGTCCTTTTCACAAGTCATAAAGAGTAATCATTAAGCAAAAAATTTCTCTTCATTTTACTAAATTAATAAAATCTTTCATGTATTTATGTTTCATCTGAAATAAAAGAATGTAAAATCTGTTTTCAGTGGTGGTACTACAGGTCAAACATATGTCACCTGGAAAGCTAATCCAGCTAAAACGACTGCCCCACCCTCCCTATTTGCAACTCCACTGTGGCTGCTGGCTGCAAACACGTTGCTGCGTGTGCTGTGGAAGGAGATTTCTGCAGGGAAAGGCTGTGCCGTTTCCTCAGAGCACTTACAAGCCAGGAAGAAAGCCTCTCTGTGAGGTATCACAAACAAACTCTTGTGACATGCCTTTATGATGCTGCCACAGGGAATACATTAAAAACACACAGCAGACAAGCTCAGAATTGCTGGAACAGCTTGAGATAACCCTTGCCCTGGATGGTGCGACTGCTCTTGCTGTTAACCATCCTGTCCCCTTTCCTGGCTTTTAGACTGCTCTGCGTCTCTGCAGATCCGTGCTGACAGCCTAAAGGCCAGGAAAAGGGATCACCACTGCAAAAAAACCACATTCCCCCTCCCAAGCACAACTCTCTCAACAGAGTACATGTCACCTGGCATGCAAGAAGAGGACTCGACAGCAGATGTACAAAATGATTTCAATACAATTGGGTGCAGGGACCTTCTGTACTCTGCAGTCTGTTCCTGTGGCAGTAAAAAATAGCTGGAAAGCGGAAGACCCAAACAGAGCAGTAAACGTCATCACAGCGGTTTCTACAGGTGCTTCCCTGCTCTGTATGAAGAAGATATGGACAGTGTCTTTGCCTTGGGGATTTAGATGGTGTATTGTACCAAAATACACTGCAGCACACAGTCCAGTAAGTCCGTGAAACTGCTTTTCTTCCCTGTGCCTGCTCAAGCAAGCCAACTTAAATGAACCCTTAGTGCCTCGGCATTCAGCTGCTAAAGCTGAAAAAATTGTTAAAGCTAGAGGAACATAAATTTGCTTAGAAGAAAAGAGCAGCCCATTACCCACAAAAGCACAGCCACACTCATTACTTGTGTTTAGAGATTTGATAGGAAAAAGGAGATGACATAGGAAACGCGAGCTTCTCCCTTTTCAGGTCTTATCGCGGCATGTAAAATAACAGACTGAGACTGTGTCACTCTACAGATCTCAACCTTCGAAGAGGCTGCAGTTCGGGTTTTTCTGCTCTTTTACCAGCACCAGTTCAGCGGTACAGCTGTTGGCTGCACAGAGAATCCTACCAGAGACAGGCTCCTGACACACGTGTTAAACACTGCCCTGCCTTGGCTTTCTGGACAAGATGACAAAACATCACTTAAAACAATGGTGGGCAGTGGCCATCCAGGTCTTCCAGCTTTGCTACTTTGGCTGGAGCAGAGCTATGGCCAGCTACAGCGGGGAATCCTCACGAAGTCGCTCCTGCCAGCGGGGCCTGTGCTGCTGTCTCTGCTGGGCGGAAACGTCCAGAGGTACATTGTAGAGACCATCGAGAGAAACCTGCTACCTAGGTGCTGGGGAAGCCCAAAGCCTCCCTTCCCAGCCACCCACGTGATAGTCCCAGGTGGCTGTGGCCAGTGCTTCAGGGTCCCCAGTCCCTCTCCTGCTAGGCTCCTCAACCTGGTCTCACATCACTTTCCTAAAGGGCTAATTTTCCAACGAATTGAGATTATCACCATATTCTTTTAATACAAATGAAGAAATGCCTTAAAATGCCAGAGTTTTTCACAGATCAGAAAATCTCATCACTGGGCGCAGAGGAACAGAGCAATGAGGGCGAGAGAGCTCATAAAACATTTATGAGGAAAAATGTTTCAGGATACTACTCTCTTCAGTGTCAAAAACCTCAACAACGTATTATGAGATTTAAATCTTCCCCTGCAATGACAGGATAGCACCGCTCCAGTGCATGAAACTGATTTAATTTCATTTTACGATACTGCAAGTCTAAAAACCAGTCTAAATTATGAAAAGTATAGATTTTTCCTCATATCCTCCACATTTACATTTCAGGATAATATAAAATTCAAGAAAGTTTATTTACACATCTCTAAATTCTAAGCATTTTGGTTAACTGAAAATATCTGCACAGAATAAGAAAAGGAGTAGCAAGCTACGCATTTGTGCAGGCAGAACAAATGGAAACCCAACAAATGGAAACCCAGAGCAGGGATGAACACTTATGAAGAGGTCAAACTGCCTATGAATACGTGAAATTACCAAGGAGCTATATATTGCATCTCCATTTGGAGCTAATGCAGTCTCCTGGAAAAGGGTCAAATGCAGCCTGTGCCTTACAAATGGCAATTTCACCAGAGTCAAATGAGCTCTATTGGCTTGTATCAAGGCTTAGTTTGGTCCGGTAACTCCAGCGGCAGGGATGAGTCATGTTAATATTACACACATTGTAAAATCTTACTCAAGATCTTGCAACAAGCAACATTATTTTATATTAAATTTCATTCCACAGTATTGACATAAATTGCAGTCTATTTGAGACTATTTTCCCTAGAAAGAGATTGAAAGTAAATGCTGGAAAATCCCCAGAACTATACAGGGAGAATTCTTCACTCACCTGTTGAAGTAACAAGTAACCACTGCCCCAGCAATCGTCATTTGCTGACAGGCAAGAATGAATTCACTAGTCCAGATAAGGCCAATGAAATGATACCATGCCATGTAGCAAATTCCAGACAGAGCTCTGTATTCTACTTGTCCTCCTGATGTAGTCTGTGCAGTACCTGGAGTTGGGATTACACCACTGTATTATTATAACACACCAGACAAAGTAGGGGGGAGGAGTACATGTAAGTGCTTCTGTAGCCTTTTTCTTAACTTTTCTTCAGTAAAATTATGAAAAAATACAAACAGGTGCTATTTAACTTTATGCATACTAACAAAATCAGAGAGCCAAAATTTTGTAATTCAAACAGAATTTGGAAGAACAAAATCTTACAAAAAGCAAAAGCTTGGGTTTAAATTGGGATTGAGACACAGCTGCCAATAAAGTCAAGAGGACAGCTACAAATCAGTAAAGATTTCTGAGAAAACATTACTCAAGATTTGTGTAATCAAATGCTTCAGAAGTAATGAAATCTTAATTTTCTTCATTCAAATTTGAAATAAATTCATAGTTATGAAATGCTTTAGATTTTTTTCTAAGAAAGTAAAGAAAAATATTAAGGATGCATAACGTACCATCATAGCAAAGTAAAATTATTATTTTAATTACTATTACTAATTAGAACCATGGCAACTAGATTTCTATTCTCTGTATTTTGCAATCTATGTGCAAAATACAGGTACATAAAGGTGGCATCTCAAAAAAAAAAAAAAAAAGAAAAAAACCCACATACATCCGTATGGTAGTACACGGTCCAATGTTACTACTGTATTCAGGAATGTTGACAAATTCACTTATTCAGGCTAAAAAAAATTGCCTCCACTTCTGTTAATATCAAAGAATTTATGCCATGTTCAATAGATGGCTTTTCACAAAAGGTGAGGGTAACTTCGATAACTTAGCAATCAGACCTTTCTCTACGCAATCCAATTTATGCCACTTGACTCTGAAGTCTAATCAGGGGTAAGGACATCAGGACATTTGCTCCTAATTAAAGGTCTCTAGGTCCACAATCTGCTGTATTTTTAGTTTACCAAGACTTAAGTCTATTAACCTTAAAGATAAATGTTCACAGAATAAAACAATCTCTGGCAGTGAGCAGTTTCTTATTCTAACTTCATGAAAGAAATAAAGTGAGACACAGAATTGTCTATTACTGCTAGAACAACACTATAACTTAAGCTTTAATACTTCATATTCTCCCACAGGACAGTGCACCACCCTCAAGTTCAAAACTACCACAGATATGAAGCTATCTATGGAACAGTTCACTTATTTCTGTGCTATCTTTCTCTAGCCACAGGGTTCATATTCAAAAACAGCTGAAAGTAGAAACAATAGATTTTTCATCAGTACCATTGGGTTCAGAAAAGTTTTGTAAGTCTTCTGAACCAAGGTCCATTTCTGTAAATTATGAAAAATATTCATCTGCTCCATAGTAGCACTGCAAAGTTATTTTGAAGTGCTTTGAAAGGATCAAAAAATGCTATATGGGTGCATAATTATTATATGGTTAGATTAAATACGTATCTGCATAAAATAAATGGAATTTACTCCTACAATATTAGCACTATAAGAAACTCATTCGTCTTATATGCTCAGAGAAGAGCTACTCACTATTTGAGGGCAAGAAGAAAAGAGTCAGATTATGAATAGATTTATGGCCTACAAACTAAGCATTCTTCCTAGAGCTGAGCCAATCATCTTCTCAGCACTCTTGTAATCAAGACTTGCATCCATCAGCACAGTACAGCTGACCTGAAGGAGGATTTTGTAGGTACTGCATCAGACTCGTTCTTCAAGACAGCCTTTGCTGAAGTGCAAACACAGACATATGTTCCTATTTTATTTTCTGAAAGGTTATCAATTTCAGCTAAACACGCAAGCTCTTTGCAGTGCTATACAGCTGGTCATTCACAGAAATACTACTGTTTCCATTATATTCAAGTGTATTTTAAGCTTGTGAAATGCAAGATACTTCATGGTGTGAAAAAGCTACTACTCATATCTCAGATCTCAAACTCTCAGCCATTCCTCCCCAACCCCTGCCTCCCCGGTTTTAAGTTTGCATGAAAAAGCTTCTTTTTTTTTTTTTTTAAGGGGAATTTTTTATTTTGATTTAGATTCATTTGCTTTGGTACACGAAAATAAGCTGTGTGCTATACCATTCCTTCTTGTTCTGAATTCAAGCGATTTTTCATCTCCCTTACTTCTTCCAGAGGCTCCAGACTGCTGTTTTCCTACAGCACACACAACCAGCCAAATATGCTCATTAGCCATAGCCTATAGCCCTTACTGAGGCAACTTATGCAAATGATAGGTCGATGAGATACAAGAAGGTCTCCTACCCCTCCATTTTTATGCAAATACATTATGCCAGAATTAAGCATGTTTTCCACCATACAATCCACTTGAACATTTCTTTTCCAAAAAAGGCACATTTCAGGCTTTGCTTATGTAGTTTTGTCATGATGACTGACAAATGTATGTACGGTAAACTAATTCTGTTTGCTTTTTACCAGCCTACTGAAATAACCATCTGCAGTAACAACAGGAATGGCTTTGTCTTTCCTGGCCAACCTTGCGCATGTGCCTGCGCACAGCACTGTGCTCTGCTGCATACAAATGAGGCACATCCACCTTCGAGTTCACCATTGATCACTTTGCTGTCTAGATACAGTGAACTGTTTTTGCTACTTCACAGAAACCTGCTTATGAATGTAAACATCTGTGTCTGACTGATTCCCTGTCTTCTGGGCCTCCTGTGCACGCATAATTTTGTCAACAGAATTACATGCAATGATATTTTTCATACGTCAGTCTAGTAGCACAGATAAACTTTAAAGCATCCTAGATACCCTGTTGAGAAAAGTATATGCCATTTTCCTCATCACTCCACTGTGATTTATCCATTCACACAAGCTAAACTTTCTCAGCAAAGCCTGGAAACATGGTTTAATTCGTCAACAGAGTATTTTTCTCCAACTACATAATCACAAGTCTTTCTGGTGTACTATACGCTCTTAGTGATAACATGAAGAAGTTAGTAAAGAACTGAAGTCCCTACAGCTGAATCACCACATCTGAAAACCTCTGATCAGTACAAATGTTGATCTGCTGTAAATACTTCAAAGAAGTGTTGTTAACAATGCAAACAGACACAAGTGTTTGCAGCAGAACTCCAAAGAGTTTCTCCATCTGACCCTGCAGCTCAGTGCTGTGCCATTATGTCAGTCAGCACAGCACAGCACAGCAACGACACCAAAGTCAGCGTGCACATGCAGTATCATTAGCTACGTTCTGGTACTTTCAGGCTTATGACAGATGCTCTTATTTGGCAACTGCTGCTGCAAGGTCTTGCTGATGCCTGGAGCGGTAAGCTGTTGTAAGCGACCAAAATTCCTGGGAAGGGAAGTCTCGTTCAGCAATTTCCTTATCAGAAACAAAGAACCAATGACCAGAAAATACTGAGAGCCTTTTTATCAGCTCCTGTTAACACAAAAATATGATGTGCCCTTCCCACTGCTGAGGAAAGGATCTGGCACCATGTACTGAATCTTCATGCTTCCTGCAGCAGAATTTATTGTGTTATTTTATTTAGCTTTTTTCCATGCACTGGTATTTACAGCTAAGCTAGCTGACTGTAATTAGAATGTCAAGGACCCTGCAGGAAATACGTTTTTATTGCTGGGTTTGCTACTGCACAGCTTTATGTGGCAGTTTTATTGCTCACTTGCCTGTAGGATGCACCTTCATTACATGAATATCTCACACCGCCTTCTCATCCAACATTACACGCGTAGTATTTATGCCATGTGGACTTCACAGCTCCCACATGAGGGAAAGCTGAAAGACATGCTTTGCTGTGCCACATGGCCACTTCAGTTCTGCAGTGAAATGCCACACAAATCAGCAAACAGTAAGACTCAATGACCCTAAGACATATCAGCTTTTCCAAAGCACAGCTGAATTCCATTCCTAGCCAGCTAAAGGTTCTAACTGGTGCCACTGTTTGTGCTGTCTCAAGTCTTGGGGAGTCTGGCATTTCTCCTAGTTTTGCAGGTCTGGAATTCACTCAGTCTCTGCTGCTCTTACAGATTCTGAATTACCAAGGTTCTTAAGCAGGTGCCTACCTTAAAATGCATAAGTACTCCCCCTGATTTTAATTGGATTATCCTTGTGTTTCAAGGCAGTCATGTGCATAAGTACCTTTCCAAGTGCAAGCTACAGTTTTCTACAGCTCCCAAGAAGTTAAGTCTTTTTCTCAGACTAACACTAACTTTTGGAGGGGATGTAAATAAGGTGTCTGTGTGGTCACATAATAATCAGGCGCAGTACAGCTGAAGCAAGGATCAAACGCTCCAGAGCTGTAAGATGCAGAGATGCTATAAACATTATATAACTAGTGAAGATTCAAGGAAAATGTTAAGAACAGGTGCAGCACAGCAGCAAGCCAATTTCACTTGCCCATTTCTCTGTATTAGACAAAAGACTAGTGTCTTTGTAAACATTTCATTTTTTCAGCTTTCTTGGTATATTTGCACTTAAAATACAGTCTGCATAGCCTCAGAAAATATATTTGTAAGAATAAAAAGTCCAAGCATCAAAACCAAGAAAACCATCACCTGTATTTTACAAACTGAATCCTGTATAGGCACATATTTGTAAACGGAGAAAACAAATTGCTAAAAGAGAGCATATCTTGGGAGATCTTCAGAGAAGTACTCTCAGCTGTTGCAAAAAAAGTCCCCAAAATTCAAAAATAATAAGATGTGTCTTCCATTTACAGGGTGATTGTAGAAAACTAGTAGAAAATACAAAGCTGTTCTGCCAAAGCATTACTAACCATACAGTACTATATTTATTTATTTTTACAGGATGCATACGTACTAGTCATCATAGAACAGCAAAACAATCCCCAACGAGCTGCCTTACTGAGAGCTGCTTTAACAGACAGCATTTCGGCAGCCTCGTATTTGGGTCAAAAATTTGAAATACAATTTAAAGGAATATTTTCAACATCAAATCCAGTCTACTGTTTGTCTGTCCAAATTTTGAACTACAAAACAAATCTGAGGTAGAGTATTGGACTGGAAATCCAAAGAACCGTCACACTTGCTGACACAGACCTCCTGGGTCACCTCGACAAATCTCAACCTGAGCGCACGATAAAACAATCCTTCACTACCTCCCTAGATCATTAAAAGGCTAAAATTGCCTTCGTTGCCTTGGAGCTGCTCTTGGGAGGAGTCACTGTGCAGTCAGAGTAGCTGCAAACAACCAAGAGGCTCAGAGGCCGCTCTCTCCCACGACATTACCGGCACCCAGCGGGCACTGGCGCTGCTGCCGGGCACTCGCACGGCCTTTGCATCAACACCTCAGCCCCTGGGCCTTTCTAAGAACTCCCTCTATGCCTGGTGGGTAACAGCAGCCACCATTTAACACAGACAGCTTAGCAAAACGAATAGTTACAAGTACAAGTGATAAAATTAACAGGATCGAGTTTCAACCAGAAAAATAAACAAATGTGTAGAGTGGCATTTTTCTACCTGCATTATGCTTACGCTGTAACTTAGAATTGGTCTGGATTATTTATCAAATGCACGTTCTCTTCTAAATATTAACAGGGTAACCGTTAACAGAAAAATCTTAAAAGGATTGACATATACACTAAAAATATCCCGGCAGAAGATCTCAGTCCAAATGTTTGTCTTACTGGATTCCTCATATGAGTAATATATTGACAGTTAAGTGCCTAGAAATGACGTTGCCTTCTTACGCTAAATCTGCAAAAAGTTAATCCTTCCAAAACTGAGAGCGTCCTAGAAACTAACATTGCTGTACTGTGCAGCAAGATTATGCTGCCTTCTGTACTGTACTGTTTGTATCACTCACTGGAAACTTCAGCATTCCTATTACACTAGGGAGAAGACAGAAAATGAAATACCTTTGAGCCAGGAGACATGTGCTGCACTATGAATGTAACAGCAGGTCACAAACTGTTTGAATCCTACTCTCCAAGGAGGCAGAAAACAACAACAACAACAAAGTTGAATAGAAACATCTAGCAGGAAACAGAGAATATAACCAATGAAAGAAAATGGCACAACATAAAAAAGCATAAAAAGGCTCTCCAAGGCAGCTGTCACTGCGTTTTATTTCCCTGTGAATACATGTGGAATTTGCTTTCGGATATAATGTGCAAGTCACTACTTTCCTGCAAAGTCTGTAAAAGCATCCAGGAAATACCTGACTAGTTCCCAATCCTAAATTTATCATCAAGCTATTTCTGTCATATGAGCTAAAATATTTCTCCTCTGCTAATGACTGCTGCATTTCCAAAAGCATTTGAATACAACAGACTCAGTTGGCATTTTCCAAATTTAGATTTAACAAGGGCAAGCTTCACATCCTTATGTGTGCATAGTAAAAATATCAGTGAATATTCCTGTGAGTAATGGGCCAGCTCAGCTTAACATCAAGGAAGTAATACTTCCTCTAATAGTTATTGTTTATTATATATTTAGCAAATCTCTGTGTTATCATTCATTTTATTTACCTGCTATTAGATTTACTATAGTTAATGTTTATCTTAAATTGCATCTGATCCAAGCAGGTGCATGAAATGAACAGCTGGTTTACAGCTCAGAAGATGCTCCTTTCTATAAAGGACTGATCTGAACCAGTAATAAGGTACCCCACAAGGCCAGTTTGAAAATTACTGCTGTCTGGCTGATATGTGCATAAGTCGGATGAAGATTTTGCAGAAAAGCTAACAGCCACACAAAGCTGCGTTTAGCACGTAATGCTGCCTCTGTAAAGGGAAAATTCAACTCAGAGGAGCGTGGAGAAGGAATATCCATTACAACTAAAGCAAAGTGAATCTGCTTGACTATTAAGTCAGCCAGGAATGACCCACAAAGAGACTGCAGGCTGGACATTGAGCCTTCCTAGGTCTGACCCTTTTGCAGGAGAAGTGGGCTATAAGCCAGGTAAGTGCTTCAAGCAGTCATTCCTGACAGACAGGAGCTACCAGGGGAAAGGCAGCAGAAACAGAGACCCTTGCAAATCTGCATGACTTTCCAATGAAAGCTGGAGAGAAACAGATTCTAGTCTAGCCTAAGCAATGAGTGAGTGACTTGCAAAGTCAGACAGATGGAGAAGCAGATCTTGTACAGAGCCAGAATTAACATGTTAAGACTGAGATGGAAGCAGTTGTGATGGAAGAGTGAGGTACCTGACCCATGGAGGTGGACATTACTGCCAGTTTTGCCAAATGGGCTCAGCTACAGAAAGGTTGGAGGCTCTTCTGGCCTAGCAGGGTTCTCTAAGCCTGTGCAGAGGAGTTACTGCAGCCTCTGTGTCAAGGAGTGGTGGAAACACATGATTAAATGGTAACACATAAGCATTTGAAGAGCTAGGCTGTATTTGGTTTTCCACACAGAAACCACTGCCAAACTTCAGAAAATAGAAAACCCATGAATAAATAGGGAAATGACAAACAACTGTCTCTATCTGCATTAGTTCTGCATCAGCTCCAACCCAAAGGACAACAACTAACTCCTAGCAGTAGCCCTAGAAATTTAAAATTAAAAAAAAACCTAAACAACCCCAAATTATAATGTTTCCTATGTAAAAAGGCTGATATCTGCAGGAGGAGTTATCCTCAGAGCTACACAGAGTTTAGCTTCCCATCTTTGGGTGATGTTGCATGGAAGAACAACATCCCCCTCCTTTGCATGGTGTGATACTGCACCAAGGGACAGCATCCAAATTACCCCAGTTCAGTCAGTGACAGATCTTATAGCGGTATGTTCCTCAGTAATACCACTTCCATACTCAAAATCTGTTCTTGCAGATCTCTCATAGCGATGGACTGTTTCTACAGAGCACCTCCCCTACAACTGCAAGAACCTCTGGATCAATCCAAATACTGTTGTACCAGTCTAAATAGTGATAGCACTGACTAAATAGTCACTGAACTACTGCTCAGAAACAACATTCTGCCTTCATGACCACTGGACACTGTTTACAGTCAGAGGAGATTAACATTCTCATTTCATAACAACAGCACTAAAAGCTGTCTCCTCCTTCATGTTACTTTCTTCATTGAAATACATCAAACATTTACTGAATCTACCACAATCTAAACATAAATTAAATAATTGAGAAAGAACAAAACTGAAGTCCACATACAGGAGCAAAAATCTCCCTTCTGTATTGCTACAACTTGCAGAACTATGGCAATGTTGAAGATTCCAACAAGCAGAGGGGGGGGAAATAAACGAAAAAAGAAGAGTAACAGTGCTAGCCCACATTTTGTACACTAACACCAGGAGGTCCCATATTTAAGAAGTGAACTTAGGAAACAGATAGCATGCATCCAAAAATACGGAAAGCATATACTTACCTGCAGTTCCTAAGCTAAGTAGTACAGCAACCCAAAATACCCAGAACACAATGAGAATCAGAAAGGTCCAGAGTGGTTGGAACAGGAGGAAAGGAATTCTGCCAATGATTTTACCGACAATTCGAAAGAGCTGTACAGTGAACTGAAGCCTCTTTCTTAGTACAAGTATAAGCGAAAGTAGAACAACCTGTTGTAGGAAAGAAAAAGAGAAATTGTTGGGTTTGCTTCCTTAAGAAAAGTAGCAGAGTTGTCAAATGTGGGATGAGAGGTGCAGATTTCATGAAGAGATGTCAGCAAGGCATTGTACACAAACTTACTCTGCACTGGAAATGCTTTCTGAGACACTGCCTATATTCTCAAAGAGCCTGTGGATTAAAGTCTGATTTTCATAAAACTGTAACTCACCCAATGGAAACAGTCTGTTTTGCTTTACAGCAAACACAAATGTACGTTATGTGCTACACATCCCTTTCACATACCCTGTATGTCACAAACATTTAAACTCTCTTCCTACTCAGGTCAGCTTGCCACTATTCACAGTGGTAAGAGGACCAGCCCTTTTCTGTAGAACAGACAGTAGCACAATCAGACTAATTTGAGAGCTGTGTATGTATGGAAGCAAAGCAGACATAAAATGAAACCTCATTTAAATAAATTATTTTTTTCTCAAAGTAAAAAAAAAAACAAACAACGACGAAATCCTGAGTCAAAAATCCCATAATGACCCCAGTTCTTTGTATATGACAAGGAACTATGAACAGCAATTAAAACAGAGTCGGAATCTATAAAATAATAAATGCAACTAATGGCAGTTGCTTCACTAGTTTTCTTGCCTGCTCTAGAAAGAAGCCACCAGCTCTGAAGAGAAGTGTAACCTGCAGCAGTGGGTGTTCCCACCGTTCTGCAAACAACAGTCAGTTGTACTGGAACACACATGCAAACAAAGGAACCTTTTCTTACCCCTTTAGTATCAACAGAAGTAAAAAGGTTATAACTTACAGAGGATATGAACAAAATGTGATCTATGACACATTTATATTTGTCACTGTAAACCGTCATACTGATCATATCCATTGAATTCCAGCCTATGGATCCTACTCTGGTTTAAGAAAATAGAAGAACAATCATTTTGACAAATGCCTCATGAAGTACAAATTGTCTGTACGCTCATATTGAGCAACTACTCCTTTAACATGGCAACATCAGAGTGAAAAAATCACTTTGAAAGTTGCAAGCCACACTCAGATTTTTGGTTGGAAAACAGGGTCAGTGAGACAAAACCCGTAACTTGAGGCCTAGACACTGCTGCCTGCACTCCACTACCCCTTTCATTGTCTAAAAGAGCTGCCACCCCTTTCTCCTACTGACATGAGTCTGTATCCACAGATCTCATGTTCACATTGAGCCAGTGCCCCTCTGTTCACTCAACATGATTCTCCAGTTAGCTGATGCAGAAAAGAACGGGGACGGGACACAATTCTTGTATTTCTACATCATCGATGCCAACACTGTTTATACAGGTTGAAGTGTGGCAAAGCCCTGTGCACAGTGAAGATATAAAACGATTTAAATGAGTGTAAGTAGATCTTACAATTGATTATCATTTTCAAATCTGAAAGGAATGAGGAATTATTTTTACTGTTGTAGAACCACTGTAGTTCAAGTTTTCAAGCTACGGCCTCTGCCATTGCTTAGAGTAAAACGCTACTTACGGTAACTATTGTCGAGAAGATAGCATATCCAAGTAGAAACTTTACATTTTCCTTTTGTGTTTCCAGTTCAGTGCTGGGATCGTTCCTGTAGTCGTAATAGAGCCACCAGAGAACACCTGAGACAACTGAGCAGACAAGAGCAGCGTGAAGCAGGGCAGCACTCCCAGGCTGCAGCACAGCGCTGTTGGCAGGCGGATGTCCCCCTGGCCGCCCACCCAAGCCCCTCACCCTGCTGCCTGACCCCAGCTCAGTTCAGGAATACTGCCGCGTAGCAGAGGCACAGTATCAACCATCAAAGAGAAAACCCACATAATGGTCTGTTAGTCTGACGTAAAATCACAGCAGAATGTTTGGTTTTCTTGCAGTTATTCTAAAGCTCAGGCATATAATTTCATCGAGGAGATACAAAGCTAACTTTCATGGAATGACAAGCTGGACACATTCCTATAGTTCTCCCTTTCTGAAGTAGGCAATGTAAAACTCCAACAAACTTTCTTTGAAACAGTAGCATTTCATAACTGCATTCATCTGCCAAAAGAAGTGTTGTTTCCAGGCATCTATAAAAAAATAAAAATCGTCATCATCCCAACACTCAGCAGCTGAAACAGCACAGCCAGACTTTGGCACCAAAAGGCAAGCTGGGCTCAGCTTGGAAATGGCTGTGGTAAGCTTAAGGTTACTGAAGATGGCCATGGAGAAAAAGGATAGATGTTTGTTCAGCTGCTTCTTCAGCTCAGTGAGATGATCCATTTAACTAAGCATATAAAAGGTAAATATACTTACATAACAACCCAAACACAACCAGTGCAATCAAAGTATGGACCAGAAGTGTCCGAATGAATCTGAAGACTAAAACCAGTATAAAAGAGAAGGCTGAAAAATATACAAAGCAAGTTTATTATGAGTGTTAGAACTCATTTAACTTAACTCTTATTTAAAGATAAATTTAAGGTTCTCGCAGGATTTGGGCTTTTATTTTTAAACAGTGGTCTCAAAAGCAACAGCATTTACTAAAGCTGGCAACCTTTTTAACGTTTAAAACACACAGTTACCTAGAACTCACTAATCATGAGCTTATAACTGAAATATTTCACTTTGGGAATTACAAGCTTTTCAATAATATTTTGTATAAGATTTAAGTTAAAATGTTCATGCTGATGCTACTTTTTTTTTTTCACCAACAATTTCTTACAGTCCCCTGAAATGAGGTATATGATCATATAGAGGAACACAGAATCTGGTATTTCATAGAGCTGTATTTCATCAGTCTATTAAATGCCTCCTGATAAAACACAATCACACTTTCTTAAGAACAACTCTACCCAGCAAATATGAAAAAGTCCACTTTTAAATTAAAAATATAAACTTAACAGAAACATTTGAAACCTCACATTCTAATTGAATATTATTGTTCATGTTTTATTCATAACCTTACCTAGTGCAAGGACACTCAGTCCTATCACCGTATCTCTTCCTGCCAATATTCCACTCAGAATTTGGTGAAAAACATCCATTTCATTAACCATACTTATTAAGGCAGATGCATATTTGGAATAGCATTCAGGATTTCGTGGAACACATCGATTAAATAATGGAAAAGATTTACTGGAAGGTTAAAAACAAAGATGGTAAAAAATATTAATTACTGTACAGACAGTTTCAAATCCACAGACATGCATTCCCCCATTCTCTTCCAAGCCCTCTACAGTACCTCATTGGCACCCCCAACACAGTTCTGCAGCCACAGCTGGCCAGTATGATCTGTAGCCTGGCAGATGTCCTCCCCACTCAGGAGGAGACCTTGCACATGGAGTCTGACACAACAGGGCAGTGGGCATGGGAGTGGTCTGTTACAAGTGGTAGGTTTATGTTTCATCTGCAAAATAAACTCCTAGCAGCATCATGTCTCTATGACTGTACCAGAACATCCATTCAAGAACAACCTGGGGGAAAAAGTGAACTATTACCTCAGTCACCCTCAGCATGTAGCTCCTGTTCCCATTCTAGTCTGGCTTCACCTGGTTTGCTCCCATGTGTTTATGTAAAACCTAAACTCATGCTAACATAGCTGTAACATTGCTGTAGCTAATTCTAGACCACAAGCACTTTGCATTGTTTTTATTATATTTAAGCATTCTAAAAGCCAAATCAAAATGATGTTTGTAAGGTACAATTAACATCTCCAAATGTTTACATACGAAATTATTTGGCACTCCCAGCCAAGCTTCTTGAATATATTAGAATCATGGAATTGTTTGGGTTGGGAGGGACCTTGAAGATCATCTAGTTCCAACCCCCTGTCATGGGCAGGAACACCTTCCACTAGATTAGGTTGCCCAAAGCCTCATCCAACCTGGCCTTGAACACTTCCAGGAATAGGGCAGCCACAACTTCTCTGGACAATCTGTTCCAGTTCACCACCCTCACTGTAAAAAAATTCTTCCTTCTATCCAATTAAAATCTGCCCTCTTTCAGTTTAAAGCCACTACTCCTTGTCCTATCACTACACGCCCTTGTAAAAAGTCTCTTTCCACCTTTCTTGTACGCCTCCTTCAGGTACTACAAGACTGCCATAAGATGACCCCAGAGCCATCTCTTCTCCAGGCTCAACAACTCCAGCTCTCTCAGCTTGTCTTCATAGGAGAGATGCTCCAGCCCTCGGATCATCTTCATGGCCCTCTGGACTCACTCCAGCAGCTCCATGTCCTTCTTATGTTGGGGCCCCAGAGCTGAACGCAGCATTCCAGGTGGGGTCTCACCAGAGCAGAGTAGACGGGCAGAATCCCCTCCCTCGACCTGCTGGCCACACTTCTTTTGATGCAGCCCAGGATATAGCTGGCTTTCTGGGCTGCCAGTGCACACTGCCGGCTCATGCTGAGCTTCTCATCAACCAGCACCCCCAAGTCCTTTTCCTCAGGGCTGAGGAATCTATTCTCCACTCAGCCTGTACTTGTGCTTGGGATTGCTCTGACCCACGTGCAGGACCTTGCACTTGGCCTTGTTGAACTTCACGAGGTTTACACAGGCCCACCTCTCAAGCCTGTCAAGGTCCCTCTGGATGGCAGAGGGAATATTTATTGCTCCATCTTGGCAATGCTGCACTACAACAGTCAAAGATATATTTGTATCCAAAAAGGAGAGGTTTGCTCATCAACAGTTAAAAACTTTCCTGACTAGCTTTGCTTCTACTATGAAACATTACTGTGCAAGATGAACAACATTGCTGAGTTCCTCACCAAACAGAAAAAAGCCTTAAAAGTCAAAGTAGTAAGTAAAACATGCCATATTTTTTCAATTTACATGCTCTCCTTTGATCCACTGTACATAATGTTTTCATGTGTCTCCTGCTCTCTTCTGTTTGCTTTTTTCCTCTATTTTCTCTTGTTCAGAGTAGATGACTTAGCTCTGCAAACACGGAGATTTCAATTCCTTGCTGTATTTTCATGACACAGGGGAATTTAAAATCATGAGTTTAAGGATTTTGGCTCACAAATGCCAAATGTTAAAGACAGTGTCATCCAATGACCTATGCTTCAAGCCAGCTGGCTGTGAAATGATTCTGATAGAAATTTCTAGGTTCAGGATAATAAGCAAGGCCCAAGACCACAGCTCTTCTTCCTTCGCAAGTCTGTGCAGGAGATAATTCGCTTCTCATATGGAGTGCTCTTCTCCCGATTTGGAGAGGAAAAAAATCTCTAAAGGGCAGAGGGATGGAGGGAATGCCGTCCTTGTGCATTCTGTGGGACAGGACTCGGGCATGTTCACAGGCACACGTGAGAAAAGGATAGATGCACAAAAATAAATAAGCAAAGCAAACCCATTCTGACTGTAAAGCATCAAGTCAAATACAAAACACGAGGAAGTAACAATCCTTGAGAAGCTGTTTGGACTCCAGGATGTTGGACTCAAAGCTGTTGTAAAGTACCCAATAATTCTTACCTTGGTGGAACTGGCAGTGTGGGACACAGCCCAGCTGCCTTCGAATTTAATGTGTAACTGGAAACGTTCAGGTTGTAAACACAAAGACAAGAACCTAAGAAGACGGGGGGAAGTAAATTAATATTCATTAAAGTTTTAGAGAAAACCATATTATCAATTCAGTTTTGTTTCCGCTTCTGCTTTGATCCCTTAGCAGGCCATATTCATCCTTGATATTCCAGTGGGAATGTAAGTAACAAATTCTTTAACTGGGTAAATCCAAAGCAACCTCTACACAATCTTTTGGCTTCTAGACTTAAGTATAATTACCATTTACTGATCTTCCCAGAGGGTAGGCACACTATTTGTTCCACAGTGCTCTAAACTCTTACTCATTAAGATAACAGAAAAACCTAGAATGACAGAAGATACAATAGAACTAGGTCCCTCGTGATTTAGAATAGAATATGTATCTATCCAGAAACTTAACATTTTCTGGACTCTAGGCTAAATATTACCAGGTACTTTGCTAATAACACTCTGCTCCATTATACAATGCTTCAGGGAAAGAATGGCAAGATATATTCAAGCTATTCAAAATGCAATACTGCCCTCTCCCTCAAGATAAATATGCAAGCAGTTTTAGCGTGTAGATGGAATTTCATGCAATTATATTCAGTTACACTGAAAATACTTATATAATATCACAGGTGTTTACAGCTTTCTGTACATACCAAACGATGGCAAACTAGCTCAAAACGAAACTAAAACAAATGTTGTCAATTTACATAGCAAACCGTGCCAAACAAAACAAAGAAGAATGGAATTCTGATACCCAGCAAAAATAGCTACTACTATACATATGGTCTGCAGTTTACCTACACCCCATGGAATAAGGGTTAGGCTACAGGTCATTTTATTTGCATGTTGGACATGAATGAACCGGAGTTGCCTCTTTTGCATAATTGCTACTTCTGACATCATATTTATCTTGAACAGCAGAATAAAATAAAAAATTTCTAGGTGGAATAGCAAACTTTGGGATCCAATGTCTAAAGGGATAAAAACACTTGTGTATCTGTGAAATTAATAATTCCAACATAGTTTTAATTAAATTTAAAAGAACCAATTGGACAAGTTTCTCAAATAGCATATGTGCTCTATTCATCTACTGGCACCTCCACCAAACTACACTAGTTCATTCTCAGGAGCCAGTTTGCTGCTGCATACTCTCAGCATTGTGCAAGAATTAATCAACAGCTTTTGAATTCGCATAACAAAGCTGTAATGTCTCTAGAAACTATGGCTTTGAAATAAAGCAGAAACAAAACATTTTATTTTCTGTTGCCATGGGCTGCTCAGGAAATTAATGGTAAGAAATGACTCCCCAGCATAGCAAACATAAGAATAACAAAGTGAAAGCTGCTCAAGTGTTCTACAGATACACTAAGATGTTCATATTCCCTGTTGCACACCATTATTCCTTGCAAAACTCTGGAGGTCTTCCAAAGAGTTGAGTTGCTCTTGTGGACAACTAGACACGCACAAGGAAAGTGAACTGATTTTGAGGCTTTGCATTTCCAGGTTGCATGAATTCAGAAAGAACACATACCTAGAAAGAAAAAAAGATCCTCTTTTCAAAAAACAAGCTTTCTAGTTTTTATAGGTTTAAATTCTGAGCCTTCTTTCTATCTTTTTAAAGCACTACAAAGCAAATGAAACTCTTTTTCCACATATCATGGAAAAAATGGAATTTGAAGTCAGAAGTTAAGAAGCAGTTTGAGAATATGCTACATTTTTACACTTTGTTTTATGTTCTTAAATGGGATCAGAAGCTGCCAAGGTGGGTGCCATTCTACAAGGACTATAGTTCATGGCAGTTGACAGAATGACTGGGAACTTCCACTGAAGTACAACAACTTCCTGTAGTACAAAGCCATACAGAATGACTGCTGGATTGGCCGAGGTCCTGTTTAAGACCCTATTTAAGAAGCCAGCATAAAGCATAACAATGTAGCACATTTTCAAATTCTATGTTAACTTTCCAGTTTTGCTTACCATTGTGCACCATTCTCACACCTTTCCTTTTGGCCTTTCAAAAGACGCAGGTATATGTACACATATACATACGATTGACAACTAGAAGATGTGTATCTTCCTAAGTTCTCAAACATTTGATTTATTTAGACATTATCTGATGTACTTACTTTTTATTAGTCATGTCCTGTCCAGAGAGAGGTGCCCCCTTTACAGGAGTATTCTTCCTACCACATATGTTCCCAAAGCTGTCATACCCAAGCACAAGTCTTTCTGCGGCACCAGCCATCACAGCGTAGCCAGTTATAAACATCTGTTAAAATATTTTTAATGTGAAAACATGCTACAATAGCTTTTCCTTCCCATTCAATAAATACTCTTTCTAAACCATGCATTTTTGTCTTCTGGATGCAAACAGTTAAATCTAAACTTCACCCCTCTGCTCAAAGCCGGACCAAGTCATATGGGTAAGTTTAGTCCCATTGTCTAATTTAATAGACTAATTTGTCTAAAAGTAAAATTTATTTACTTTGTCTATTGTTGAAAGTATATAAATTAAACAGAGTACCTCAGGAGAAGAAATATAGAGGTCCTGATTAAAATAATAGGAAAGCAATAGTAAGGTGCTAAACACTGCCTCTGCCTAAGCTTGTGTGTGTCACTAGGCAAGGTCACTCAAATGGTAATTTTTCCCATGTGCTTACTGCTGCTTGTTTTTCAGGGTGCCCTTCAAGACATACCTGGGCAACATAGCTGCTGAAATGTTGAGCCCTTGCAGCTGCTAACGAATTTAATAAGAAGTATACTGCAAACACATAAAATATAATTAAAATGCAGTTTACCTGAAATTTCAGGAAGATGCATTCTTTAACACATGTGAAAAACCTGGAGAGAACCACACTGTGGACTTAGGTGACACGGTACCGATCTTCTAGATGCTCTGCTGTCGGATCAAAGCCCCAACAGATCAGGTCCCTGTAAACTCCAGAGGCAGCTAAGCATCTCCGTTGGTCAAGCAGCAGCAACCCTTAGTCAATCTAAGACACCTTGCCTCAGGATGCAGCTTAAACCCTGCTCATGTATGCCATGAGGGCCAAAACACCCATTGAAAAGAACGTTTCCAAGTGCCAAAAAGCAGTAATTTTTCTGGGAAGCTGGTGAAGTCCTGAGCACTACTTAGCCCAAAAGCTTATTTACAGCACTCCAGCTATTAAGAACTCAGTGAGTCAATTGTCTCCCCTGTCCCATGGGGTGTAAACCACATTTCACACACACCAAGGACAATTCACTAAGCTCTATGGCTACATGCCAACTGCTGGCAGCAGCAAATCTTCCCAGACCCACATTAACCACTACTACTTTGCATGGAGTTGTTGAATATTAGCTGTGCTGGAGACAGATTGCACATATCAGATCCAGCACAACTGCTTTCTAACTTAAGGTTTAGAGGCTTTATTTTTCTACTTTTAACACTTGTGACTACAGATGGGACCTGGGCAAAAACTGAGTCTCATACACAAACACGTTAAGTACATGTTTCCTCAGTCCCCAGCATAGTCTCATTTTTGCTTATATGTTTGCAGTTTAACTAGTTAAATATTTTTTTTTTAATTATGACTGCATGTTAATGCCATCTCAATATGGAGATCTTTGTAGAGACTCCACAATTAAAGCTGACACAATACTTGCGAATGTGATATTTGTTACAATAATAAAACAGTTTCAGATCTCATTTATTTGCATAACAAATACTTGTTAATAATTAAATTGTTCTCAGAAGGAAAAGGAGAAACGAGCTGGTGTTGTAACTTAACCTGAAATATGCTTTCAGAAAAACTGGCATTCTTTCTGAAAATGGACATTACAGGTCAATTGCCACCAGTATGGCAAATACTGGTGAATTTTTTTTTTTTTTTTAAGTGCAAAATGCTGGATACAAGCCACAAATATTGTTAAGTAACAGATGGCTGTATGACTACTGGAGGGGTGTGTCTATACATGCCAGTGATACGCACTTCCAGAGAGTTATTAATGTGGTTTCAACTTTTTTCACTAAGTAAACAAATCAGTCATCAAAAAATTTTTAATCTTTTAAAAATCCCATCAAACAAAAGAAAACAAACACATGTATGCAATAAGCTATTTCACAGAAACTGAGCAATAAAAACAGTGAGAGAACACAAACAAAAATCCTAAATTTTCACTGTTTGACAGGTTTAAGTTTTGGCGTTACCTTCACTGATGAAAGCACTAAGCACAAGACAGCATGTAAAAAAAGCTATCCTGTTCACAAAGCTCAGCTTCAGCTTATGCAGTATTCAAAATGTGTATGTATTCTCCCGCATTAGCTTCCATTAAGAGAGTTATTAGGAATTGAACTGAAAACTGATTCATAGTGTATTCACGAGTTCTGAGTAGCATCAGAGATATGAAAAAACCTATTCACACTTAAGAGAGACAAAGCCTGTTCCCAAAAGTTTTCATGCTGTTATAAGCACAGGACAGACAGTGACTTGATACAACAGATGGACATGTTGCAAGATAACAAGACTACAATGAACAAGAAGAAATAAGAGTCCAGTCAGAGCCTAGACTAATTTACAAAAAAGCAAATTCTAAATAACCCAGCCCTATGTATACATGGCATCTAAAGCATACGAGTAGAACTTAAAAGTCTGTGTAACAGACACTGCAATAAAGCACGGCCCCGCCACAAAGGTCAGTTCTGCCCCAGTGCAATCGTGGGACTCTAACACCTGTGCCCACGATAATTTCCGTTTAGATTTACTATACCACTGTGCAGAACCCCATTAACTTTGGATCTGATTTTTCTTTCAGAAAAAAAAAAAAAACATGCTTACCAAACCAGCCCAGAAAAGAAAGAAGAGGAGCAACCAGAGAGTGTCTGTGCACTTTCTGTAAATGACTGGTCTCCATTCCCTTACTTCGGAAACACTATCTCCAGAATCCTAAAACGAAACAAAGACATAAAAAAATCCAAACTTCCTGTGAAATCCGAACCAAGTTTCAAACGCCTGAGATTTCTGAAAGAGCATAACCTCGCATTTAAAATTCCAAACACCTGGTAGCTCTCTGCCCGCAACAGCTGCGCAGCTC